TTTTCATGTTCCTTCCATCCCTGACTTGCCAATGCTTATGCTCCTCATAAAGAAACCTGTAAAGGCAGTGTCAAAAGTAGATGTTTAGTAATACGATTAATTCTCCTGGCTAATTGTAAGACTGATTAGTTCCCCAGTAATTAGGCAAAATTAAAATACCTCATTACTGGTTTTTGCCACATTGCTCTCTTCCTTGGGGATCTTAGGGTTTGTGGAGGTGCCTAGTGGGTATTCTAAACAGTCAGGGTTCTCATCTTCTTCCTCCTCCTCGATGTGCAGTTTTGGAGTCATCTCTGTACTGTTGTGGTCATACCACCAGGCATCCTGCTCTTGAGATCTCGGCAGCCATTTTTGGTATGGAACCCCCTCATGGATATCTTCCTCTTCTTCTCCAATGACCGGGAGAGTTATAGGCAAGGCAGCCACATTGGCGCATGAAGAGGCCACAAATTTATCACCTAGGACTTCAAGAATCTTTGTAGGGTCTGAAAAGCCCTTTCTCATTCTATTCAAATATGCAAGCTGGCTGTGAGTGCTCTTTATGGGATCCTGAAGTGGCACCGCATCATAAGTCTCGGTTACAGCTGAGGTCATGCTTGAGTGGGAGAAAGGTAACAGACAATGAGGTGATTCGACTGGTAAAGATGCTGGAGGCAGTGAGAGGACAGGAAAAGGTTTCTCCTTAATATCAAGGATGATTTTGTCTGGGACATTTGGTTTGGCTTGGTCAGCTGGTAAGGTTAAAGCACTAAACTGCTCTAGTTCATCCAAGAAATTGTCCAGAAAAGAAGATGGTGTTGGGACCAATGGGTTTGCTGGTAGACACCAGTCTGTCAGGGATAGCCCCTTCTGGGCGGTTCCCTGGAGGACTTCTTTCTCTGAGCCATGCAGAGCATTGTGCACAGAAGGAGGGGCTGGTTCACTGGAAGCCAACTTAGAAACGAGCAGGAATTATGAAGTCAGAAAAGCAAAGAAAATAATGATAATGCACAAAAATACAGAGACAGAGAAATGCAGGATGGGCATGATAATAAATACAGAAACGATTTTCTGGTGTAGCATAGAAATAGACTGAAGATATTTGGAAGATATCTAGATTTTTTTTGAAATTTAAATATGTAAAATCCTTAAGTTAATTGAAAAACTTACTTGAGCAATGAAACACTATTAGTTTTGAAAGAGACATCAAGTATCAAATGAGAAGATAAAGTTACCATAGAGACCATGAGGCCAGACAGTAATTTAAGATATTTAATATCAGTCTATCTCTTTTAGGCTACATTAACTCTTTCATGTATATTGAAATATCTCTGAAGGTTGTTAATACAAAACAGAAACTAATAACTAAGCTTCTTTTTCCTCTGAATTTATTAACTGTTATTCCGGCAGCAGTGCTTAGTCTTTTGGACTTTCACAACTTCTTCATTTACATGTGTAAAGTATTTTAGACTTTATACAAGAACATATGTCGAAGAAAATAAGTTCTGAGAAATATCTTTTAAACATAGAGACCTAAGATCAAAATGAAACTAGACTTACAAACCAATGCTTTAAAGTTTACAAACATCCAAAGTAAATGTTTACTCATAAGGGAACATAAGATGTTGACAGAGCAAATTTGTAAGGCCTCATTCTCAGAAGCTTGATGTTTTATGTAAGCCTAAAGAATAGAAGTTACGAAGCTTAATCTCCTAATGTAAAATATCCTTCTTTATATTTTAATACTATTGATTCATTTTGAATACTTGAAATGAAACAGCAAAGATAAATTTTTATGCAAATTCAGGAATACTTCTAGTAGTGCTGCCTTATAACTTTCAAGACACTGCTATATCCTTGCTGGACAGGAAGCACAACGCTGCATGTTATGCATATAAAGGTTGTGAGAGAGCCTGGGGGATGGCTTTGTGAGACAGTCTGCAGGATGACTTTTTACTTCACAGCTTCCCAGACAGTTGACTTTGGCTTGTGAGACAGTTTTCAAGAAGACGTTGCTGGAGATGCACTTCCTGGTTGACTGTTTAGAACTGTGCCTCATGTGGCAGCCAGCACTCTTAGACTTTGAGCTTCCTTAGATCTAAGTGCACAGGGGCTCCCCATCCCAGTCACAAGAATGGGATATTAGGTTGAACTTATTTAATTTTCCAAGGAAATATTATGTAATCTCATAATGGGGTGCCATATGTTTCATAAAGTATAACAAAATTCATGTGAGCATTTCAGTACAAGATTCAAGATCTGAGGCTGCTTAGTCACTGATACAAAATATTGTTGTTCATGAGTTTTGTGACCATTTGATGGTCATACCCATCCTGAGGATGCTGAATTTTTTTTTTTTTTTTTTGTCTTTTTGAGACAGGGTCTCCTTGTAGCCCCAGCTGGCCTGAACTCACTATGTAGACCTCGCTGACCTTAAACTCACAGAGATGTGCCTGCTTCTGCCTCCCAGTGCTGGGATTAAAGACGTGCACCACCACACCCAGCTTAATTAATAAGACATAAATTACTTGTCTCCCTTCATGGTCTATAGGAGTTCTCTTATTGGATAAAATTCCATTTTACACTTGTAATGAACCGTGAAAGTGTTAGACTTGGTCTTAGTAATTCAGTTTTGAAAATGTGTGAAATTGATAGTAACTCCAGATGAATATTTTTACTTTCTCTCATGTAGCAGGAATATTACGTGCCTAAGAACGCTTTCTTGAGTTCACCATCATCCTCACAGCCACTGTCATTATTGCTGTCTACTACTGATATACAGCCATTGCCCCCGTAATCACCACTATATGTATTCACAGGTTAAAAGAGCAAAAAGCTTTACAATAGGATTGTTTATAATAGGAATTAAATTAAGTATAGTTTTCTTAAGGGATACTTATGTTACAAAAATATATCTATAATACAAATTAAAATTATTTCATCTTACAGAAACATTAGAACTGGATTTTATTGTACTAAAATCAGAAATGATATTAACTTACATTTGAGCCTGCCTTAAAATAGCAATATGTCAGGAAATGTGATTTGAATTTGCCAAAGAGTGATTCAAAAGTCATCAATGTATTTATTACTCTATTTACAAGTATCAGTTAGAAAATAAATGCGTCTTTTAGGTTATTTTGGATCTCACCATTTAAAAGTCCATATTTATTTTTTCTGAAAATGATTCAGGGCAACACTATAGGAATTTTCTTTATTAAGCCAATGAGATCATAGAATGGAAAACCAGTTTAAGTGAAACTGGGACGTCGTTCAAATTTTGGACATAAACTTCAACATACTTTTTCATATCAGTGGGAATAAGATGCCAATTGGTTATTAGTGATATTTGTGCATTCCTCCATTTAAAATTTGATATTATAAAAATTGAGATTTTAAAACATACTCATAGAAAATATTAAAATGTTGTGATCTAAAATATTTCATTTCCATTGTTAATTAGGGCATATGGAAGACATTCTTAAATGCTAAGTAAGAATTGTAGATACATGCTTTTTTTTCCTGTTATCATTTTATTTAAAGGTTCAGTCACTTGAGCTCCACCTGGCAGTTCTTTTAAGATGAATAGATGGTAGATTAAAAATACATATGGTTGGATGAAGAGTCTTATCTTTTCCCCTTATCAGAAGGAACTACTGAAAGAAGAATGCTGATTTATAAATGTTAAATTTTGGTAGCAAATGAAATACATTTAAAAAGATTTTGGAAACTTCATAATCAAGCGAGCACATTTGGGTAGTACCAAACTGTCCAGTTATTCAGTGATAGAGAACTGAGAGTTATTACTCATAACTAAACCTTGTCTTCGGTGATGATGAGAATGAAGAGAATAACAAACCTTAGCCCTCTTAAAGGAAAATGTCTCTTAAGATATATTTATGTTATTTACTTAGGCAAATCCTTCTAGGACCCATTTTCTAGTAGTGGCTTAAGTTCCTGGGAACACTATCTTGAAATGGTCTCGATTTTGAACATGAAGTCACTTCACACTTTCACAATGTTAATGGTCTATTTTTCCGTGTTCTATTTTTTATCTCAATTAAAACGACAAACATATTATACAACTACATACATTGCTTTAAATATTGGAAGTGTTTAACAATATTTTGAAAGTGATTCATCGATGATTTAAAATTTTATACTTTGAAATTAATGACAAGGAGAAAGAAACCCCTAAATATATCCATAAAGCATATTTAACAGAAAAATGATATTGTGAATAAAGGAAGTTGGGGGATGGCCTTCCTAATTAACCTATTCAAGAAGGAAAGCCCTTATATTGTTTATTGAGAAAGATAATCCTCTTTAGCAACTAGCTGAAGTGAAACAGCAGAATTTGTGGCCCTAAAATAATGAAACGAATGTGAAGACTTCTAATAATCTATACTTTCATAAAATCTAATTATCAAATGTAATTACAGGCCCTAACTTAAAGATAATGGTTAGCTACATCAGTGTAGAAAGTGCCCCAAGTCTTTTATAGAAGTTTGTCTACCAAATAATTATTAATTATATATTCTTTAGATATACCATTTTGGTATACATATATATGTGTAATGTGTATATATACCATTTTATGCTATGTGTTATACATATTTCTACACATATTGTAATTATGTTGACATATACAAATGCACATATTTATTTCTATAATTATATGATACAAATAAATTTACACATATAAAAACCAACTTTCAGAAAAATATTGTTTATATATATACACACACAGAAGTACAGATATGTATCAATAAAGGTTTATGATATGATATTTTCTTTCCCTTTCTATACTTTAACTTGAAAATGGAATTAGCAAAAAGAAGCATTAAACCTTTATGCCACTACTTACTTGAGGGAAATAAACTCATATTTACTGACTGGAATGCATATGTGTGTAAATGTAATTTGCAATAGATGAGTGGTCTAGTATCTACAAATCACATATCAATTATCATACTCCAGGATCACAAGTATAACATGAATATGATAGAATAGCTTCTTACCTTGTTGGAACTTAGGCTGTGAATTCTATCACTAGAGTAGCTGTGGGGTATTGGAAGGTCAGGGTAATCTTCAGCACCTTTTGGGTTCTTCTTGATGACTTCTACATAGGAAACAGGGAAGATGCCTTGCCTGTTGGTTCCTGGAACTTTACCTTCATACCAGTTTTGATCAACTCTTTTAAGAAGAATAATTCTATCACCCTGTAATCAGCAATACGAAAATGTAAGTAAAGACACAATAATATAAAAGTGTAATTGCCATTGTTTTCTGATAAACAATAGTTTTCCATTTGGGAAAGCTTTACACTTCCAGTATGTACATCATCAAGGGAATATAAGTGCTTACTAGAAGAACACAGATTATCAGCACATATGCAATTAAACCATCTGTTTATGACATTAGGGTTCTAAGGAGCCTTGGTTAACGTGAATGGGCCTATTTATGTTTCATACTGCTACTATATGAAATAATTTGTGGGACTTATTTCAAAAAGCAGACTGTATAAAAAGTACCATCTTAATGACAGTAATATCATCTAATCTCTGCCTGAATTAATGGAATCACCTTCAGGAAGAGGAAAGTGAATCTTCCTAATGGGTCACAGAAGCCAGCCTCTCAAAGGAATAACACTGAATGATATATCATTTTCCTTCTTTAATCCACATATGTTGAGAAGTGACAAAGAATGAATGAAAAGGATGAGGCAAAGATGGCATCTTAGACCATCCATAGCTGTGGAGAAGATTGACCCACCCTTCCCTTGCTCTGATCAGGATAGTGAAACACCAGCATCCATTTGGTTGGTGAGTGGCTACACATTCTGGCCACTAAGCATTTGAATAGAATCTTTGCTTTTTACAATAGTAGAATGTTCTACAATCACTATTATGCTTCCTGCAACGACCAGGTCAAGACCAGAGAACTCAATTTAAGCTCTAATTATAAACCACATGTGGTGGTTTGAATGCGAATGTCCCCCATAGGCTCTAAGTATTTGAACATTTTGTCCCCAGTTGGTGGTGTTGTTTTGGGAGGTCTTAGAAGGTATGACCATGTTGGAGGAAGCACTTCTCTGAAGGCAGGCTTAGAGAGTTCTTAAGCCTAGCCAGATCTTGAGTCATTCTCTTGCTTCCTGTGCCTGCTTGAAGATGGGATAGTTTAGCTTCTGCTCTCCTCCAGCCACCTCTTCTTGCCATGCCTCCCGGCAATGATGGACTGTAAGCTCAAATAAACTGTTCCCTTTTTAGGTTCCCTTGGTTATGGTGTTTCTATTGCAGCAACAGAAAAGTAACTAATATACCACACATGACCCACAACTAAATCAGCAAGCTGTGGTTAAAGAGTAAAACCTACAGCTGTGTCTAGCAGGTGATACAGAACTTTGGGGAACTTGATCTGATAGAAGGAGGTGACACCCAATCATTAGCTTCAGCAGAGTAGGGAGCCCTTTTCAGTGCCAGTCCCCCAAAGGTCCTCTTTTCCTCAGAGTACTGGATGGTTGGTTTAATATGCCCCATGACTACAGAACAAAGCATATTGAAGAGGAGAGAATCTCCCCAAATCTCCAAAGTGCGATGATTTTCTAATACACCCAGAATAGGCAGTTGCTGGCTAGGTTGTGAGAGGCACTGGGAAAACCTTTCTTTAAAGTATAGAGCAAAATATGGTAGAGCTTGTGTGATGCTATGTGGTTTTCTGTGTTAAGCAGTAAAGAGTGAAGGGTTGTAGAGAACTGGCTAATGATGCAGAATTAGGCATAAAAGAAGTGGATGAGATCAGCTTCTGCCAGAACCTGAATTGTGGAATCACCCTCAGTGTGCCGACCAAGGAGTACATCAGTAGGCATAGGATGTTCTAGACCACCCTGATTAATATTACCAACTGTTCTGTGTTCTTTGGAGAACTGGTTGCTCAAACAAATATATGTCATTGTCTAGAAAACAAAGAAAATGCTTCATTTGTCAATCTCAAGTATGGAGGAGAGCAAGTTAAAAGAGCTCCTTTTAATATTGTGAAGACAAGCTACTGGTATTGGATAGGGTGCTAGAGAGACTTGGATCAGCCAGGAGGCCTAGAGAAGGTTGATCAAGGAAATGAAATTGCATAGATGGCTTCAGAAAGGCCCCCAGAGAGGAAGTGTCTTCATTACCTTAAGACCACTCTTTGATTCTAAGCTAGAGTAAAGCAAATGTTGGGCTACTTTAAAAGATGTAGTAACAAGGCAGCGGATTGCTATTTGAAGTATTTTAATTAAGAAGCTTTCTCTCCTTAGGGTTCCCATACATGCTCCTTAATAACCAGCTGAGACACCCTTGGAGAGGATCCAGGGTCCTGCTAAGTAGACTAAGCTGCTAACTACACTAAAGTTTAGAACTTTGCAGCCTTGGAATCTCTTTTGGAAGGACACAGGGACCAGAGGTAACAGTGATTCTGGGCAATCCTACAAGTCCTTTGTAGAAAACACCCAAAAAGGTCTAAAAAAAGAAAAACAAAAAACCAATCAATCTACTTTGGATGGAAATTTACAGTCACTTAGAAGGCACAATGAAGAATGCAGCTGGTTACCTTTCTTAGTGAGAGCTCAACGTTTGTGTCTGCGTTGAAATTATATTTGGCTATAGCTTCTCCAATCTCTCCAGGCTGGACTGGGGGAGGTGGTCTTGCGGGCTGTGTTTTTTCTGGAGGTGTTAGTTTCTATAAAGGAAAGCAGTCATTGGTTCTTGAATTTCTGATAACTTTTGAAATAACACCTTTCAGAAAGTAAGGAGAAAGGACGTACCTCTACGTATGAGATTGGGAAAATGCCCACTCTTCCATGATGCTCTCCCTCGTACCAGTTTTGATCTATTTTCCTGAGGATATAGACAGTATCTCCTTTCTTAAATGACAGCTCTCTGGAAGAGACGTATTTAATGGATTTTTCTGGATGCATAGCAATTATTCTTAAGATCAACCCCCTCTTTAGGTTTATATTTTTCTGGGAAATACATTTCCCACATGTAAACAGCTGCCAATTTCAATTAGATAAGATTTTCCTTGAAAATTTCTGGAATTTGCGTATAACACAAGTTTGGAAAGAATTTTTGAAGAGAGCAAGTGCATATCACACCCTGTATAAATCACATCCTCTATGATATGAAATTTGGAAGAGAAGACAGATTATTATGACCTTGCTAGTTTATAGTTGATGTATTCTGAAGCTTGCAAAATGACGGATTGGTCTGTTCTTTTTAAAAAAATTTTCGTAGTGAATTTTTTGGTTATCTAATCACCTACCTGCTTTTTACATGCTAAAGCTTAAAACAAGGAAGAACAGAACTCCCAGCACCAGAAAATACATAATTTATAGACTTCTGAAATTAATTGATAGCTATTTCAATGTTTTGATAAGGAATTTATTTGGTATAGCTGAAAAAAAATCATTGTTTTTATTCTGATGATGACTAACAAAAATATATTTGACATACAAAGGCATGCAAAAATGCTTGTTATCCTTTATATATTTTGTTTTAAAAAATATTTAAGGATAGGAAGTCCATTTTTCCATTTTGACTGTTTCTAAACGTTTGATATTAGGTATTTTAAAATCGTAAGACATTTTCACTTTGAACAATTCTCCCCCACTATTGTTATCAGTTTTTCTTTGTTTCCACAATTAAGCTCGCTGGAGGGCAGTTGATTTACATCTCTCCCCAAGAGCCCCACTATCTTGTTGGAAATTTTTTTGAATATATATGGAAATCATAGACAACTACTCTTTTCCTTTTAAATATGAAATAGATCTTTTCTACTTATATAGACATGCATTTAAATTTTTGGATAGACACAGAAAAAGGAAAGCTGCCTTATTCTCCAGGTTTTAAAACTATGTCCCTTTCATCTCAGAGCTAGAGTCCCATTTTGATAAACTTGCTCTGTTTTAAAATTTTCATTTTTCAACAGTGGCTATTGATGACCTCTAGGAAATGAAATGTTACTTTTTTCTCTCATTTAAAAGTTGAGATGTGAGCCGGACATGGTGGTGCTCACCTTCAGTCCCAGCACATGGAAGGCAGAGGTAGGCGGATCTCTGTGAGTTCGAGGCCAGCCTGGTCTACATAGTGAGTTCCAAGCCAGCTGGGGCTACACAGAGACCCTGTCTCAAAAAGACAAAAAAAAAAAAAAAAAAAAAAAAAAAAAGAAAAAAAAAAAGAAGAATTGAGATGTTAAGTTTGGTGAGTTACTTAACTGTATATAATCATGACCTTCAGCTTATTAATGAAAAATAATTTTTAAAATGCACATTTATTTAAAACAGATACATATCTTACTATTATTATGTATAAAAAGCATTCACATGTAATAATTAAAATGACTTAAATGCAGCTTGTTCTGCAGTCTTCAGTGCTGCTTGGGCATGGGAGCCTTTTAAAGTTGCTTAAGTCATTTGTCACCCTTATTTTTGTGTCAAATAGAGCACTACATTGTAGACGACAGATGACTTTGCTTTACATCTTTGAGAGAAGCACAGGGGAGTATCATTAAGTTGCAACAAGATCAATCTATTTCTAGGAATCAGTTCTTTTTCTTAACTGAAGTTATAAGGTAGCTCCTATGCAGTTATTAAATCACTTTGCTGAAGGCTTATACAACCAGATTTTATTAGTTTAGAAAGAGCCAGTCATGCCTTTTGTGAAAAACAGCCTTTGACACAGGCACTGCCATGGCCTCTCTCCCACAGAGGGGCAAGATTCCAGATCCTCATCAGGACACTTTAGAAGAGTGGCATAAGGTGAGGGGCCTGGCAGGCGGGAAAGTCCAGCAGGACAGTCACAGTCCAGCCACTTCCTCTTTGAAGCTTGCTTTTATTCTCTCTCTCTCTCTCTCTCTCTCTCTCTCTCTCTCTCATATCTCATGTGGAGGTCAGAGAATAACTTGTGGGAATTGGTTTTCTTCTTCCACCATGTGAGACCCAGAGATTGAACTCAGGTTGTCAGGCTTGGTGGCAAGCACCTTTACCTGCTGAGCCATCTCACTGGCCCAGAATTTTATTTTTAACATCACATTTAGCATAGTTAACATTTTAATTTTTAATTAGAAATTTTGCTTACTTAGGTAATTTCTTGTGTCACTAGCATTACCAAATTCTAAGCAATATTGTTTTTCATATATCCTCTGTCACAGATTTTAGAATTAGTTGCTGGTAATTTGATGCATTCTACTGAATTCTGTTGAAATATTTTGATTATATATGTACATACATATACAGTTTAAACAACAGTGTGATTTAGTGGAGATGTATAATAAACTCAGTACGTTGAATTCTAATGGTGATTAAATTCCTTCAATAAGTTCTGTGAACGTGGCCAGGGAAGATTTTAGAAAACTCCCTCCTATGTAAGTCTATCATGTGCTCAGCACTAGCCTTCCTCATCCATCTGCCTTGCCCTTTGGATAAAGTTCCTAAAGAAACAGCCTAAGGGGCTGGAAGATGGCTCAGTGATTAAGAGCACTGGCTACTCTTACAGAGGACCAGATTCAGTTCCTAGCACCCACATGGCAGCTAACAACTCTATGTAACTCCAGTTCTAAGGGATCTGACACTCTCTTCTGACCTCTGTGGGCACTGCATGACATGGGTGCACCTACTTACGTGCAGGCATTATATGCATACACACGAAATAAAAATAATAAAATATTATAAAAAGGAAACAGGCTAAAAGACTGCATCACAGGGCCATGGAAACATCAGCGCTCAAGAACCACAGGAGAGACTTTGATTAAATCTCTAAGCGTTGAGCATTGAGAGATGCTTTCACTACAGGAATATCTATGCACAGTTATTCTCATCCACCCCATAGACCACCCTTGGTGTAGCTGGACAAACAAATGCTATCAAGTTCCCTCAGCTAGGTAGACTGAATTACTCATTTTTTATTTTTAATTAATTCTTGACAAAAAAATTCTAGAAATAAATATTCTTTATTTCTTATTGTTTTCCTATTCTTCCACATTAGTTGTGCTTTATTAACATACCTAACGCAATTTAAGACTCAGTGTCTCACAACTGAACTAAAAAATTATCTTATCTCAGTTAATTCTGAAGGAACAGGCTGATTAAACTGGATTACAGAATTGGGAATTGAGTCTTATTTGTAACACATACCACTGCAATATTTATCTCTTAAAGTGTAACCAACATAGTCAAAGCCAAGTTCAATCATATGAGTTTTTAATCCTACTTACTTAGATGTCTGAGCTTTGAAATCATAGACAGCTTTTGCAGGCAGTTTCTGAAAAGGAAGGTAAACAGTTGACACTAATTTAACATTTTAGATTTTTCTACAAGAAAGAAACCTCACATGAATAAAAGTAAAATTGAACATCAAGAAACAATGAAACACATATAAGCCCTACATGCAATTTATAAATATATCAGCTAGTGTTACATTTAGATTAGTAAGCTATCGTGGGGCTAAGGTAGCTGATTTCCTTCTTAAGTTCCATTTCAGGAACTAAAGTAGACTAACATCATAATGAGATAAAATGCCCACAGAGGATTCTGTCCTATGTGTCGTTTTTGACTATCGCAAATATAATTGTGGGGGGCCAATTGCTCTGTGTTTTGTGGATTCACAGAACTATCTTAATCATAATCAAAGAAGCAAAAGACATAAAGGAAGTCATCACACCCTTCACTAAATGTCCATTCAGGAAAAAAGAATAGCCCAATTATCATTGAGAGGCTACCTAGAGGTAAAAAAATATAGGCATGGTCTTCTTGCATTCCCAGAGAATTTCGAATCCTTGGCTCATCTTTTAGCTATGAAGTGATACTCATGCTTCTACTCAGATTTGGAGCCCAGAGATCTACTTGAGGCATAATGTACCAGATAGCTAGTGACAGCAGACTTTTCTTCCCTACCAACCAGTAATCCATTCACCCCAGTTTTCTTCCCCTGTGATTCTAGTGAGCTTCAAGAAACTTGGGAAATTTCTGACTTCATGGGATCCCACAGGCACTGGGCTATTTCAGACACCTGTACGCTCCTTCTGGAGGGCTGTCAGTACAAGTTCAGTTTCAGTTTCCATTAAACCCTCATGGCTTCCAAAATAGGAACAAATACTTCAGCCTTGGCTCAGGGCTATGGGCCAGGAATCAATGGTGTATGCTTCTCAACGCTATAAGTACTTGATGGATGGATAAAGACTATTTTTAGGTGTCTTCAACAAAAGTAAGCCAACAAGTATTTGTGTAGGATTTGTGTTGGTTTGCAACATAGTTGAGCTAGGGCTCTCTCTAAGGCCAGTGAGTCAAGATACGTACTGGAAACTTCCTCCTTTCACAAAGCAAGCTGTTTCAGAACTCTCTGAACCACAACTATTAATTTATGGGTACCATGTCAAGACTCAGAAAAGCCTTACTGCCCTAGCTGGATTCTAAGTAGGGAATCATTAGCTCAGGTCCTAGTCTCAGGCTCTAAGCAGAACTGTTCCTAGACGTGCAGTTGTCATGCTCCTGTCAGTTCTTCACTGGTTTGGGATCTAAATTTGGTCGGCAAATGCCTTATCAGCAGGTCCTACAGTGGAATCCAATTCTGTTAAACTGATCACCTCTTTTTCTGGAGTTCCTCTTCTTTCTCTCGGTGCACTTCTTCCCAAGTCGCTCAAGGTAGATGAGTAACTTCTCGGGGACTCATGGTCTATTAGAAGGATAAAGTGAACTCCAGTGAGTTTTCCCTTCATTAAAGCAAGGTTGCTCAGCTACTTTCTTTGGAAGTAACTATTATACTCCCAAATTTGGAGAGATGTCACTAATGAGAACATGGATGGAAAACTCATAACTAATTATAAAGCTATGATATAAGACACACAAAACAAGAACATCTAGAAAGGAGAACTATCCAAATAAATATTTTAATCACATGTGAAATATAATTATTACATCTATAATTAATTATAGTGCAATCCCTTGCGTAGACAGTTCACAGTTGTAGGAGTTCTTTCGTGCTCAACTTTACCATACTTATTACATCTATTCTTTTTGCTTCCAGGTATAAGTATTTACCATCATAACATCTACAGAGGATGGAGAATCAGAAAGTAAATCCAGATCGTAGAAACAAATGTTTTGTGGAACACGATTTGAGAAATAATAATGAAAATTAAAAAGTATAATAATGACCGAACTATAGCTAGATTCCCTCTCTCTCTCCCTCCCTCCTCCCCTCTAAATACTCATGGAATCTTAAGCTGCCATATCGTTTATGGTTTCCCCCTGTACTCAGATGATAAACTAACTAATCAGAAAGTGAATGTAAATATTTATTTCAGAAAACAAAGGGATAAACAGAAATCTTCATATAAAATTGTAAAATTGTTTATGAAATATTGAGGTTTTTTTCACTTTAAAGCAAAGTATAAATAATTGCATTAGAAAACTCTGATTGCGAATATCACTCCAGTAGTACATTTATGTGACTAGTATGTGGAAATGTAACTGGAGGCTGCAATATTCCAGTAGTATCATGGAATTTTGCCAGTGTAACTGGGTCAAAATTTTGAATTCTTTAATAAATAGTGTGAATCATTAAGATAAGATCTATTTCATCCATTTGTCAGGGAAATTTTTAAAAATGTTGGAACCATAAGAATAAATCACTGCTTAAAAGTTTGACTACTTTGACTGTATGGAAGAATTGATTTACAAGTGGGATATCAGTTGCATAACATCCAAATGTGCATGTCTTAAATCTCTGTGAGTTGTTTGTGAATTCCAGATTCTGTAGGTTTAGGAAGGTGACATAGCCAGAAATATTTCAAGTAAAACTCAGTTATTTTCACGCTTTCTAGAAATTATGTTGAGTATATTTTCCAGTTGTTCAAAGTCATTTTTCCTTTGAGACAGAGTGTCAAAATGTAGCCTTGGCTGTCCTGGAACTCACAGAGATCTGCCCGCCTCTGACTCCTGAGTGCTGGGATTAAAGGCATGCACCACCATGCCCAGCAAAAGCCATGTTTTAATAAGGGGCTCTATTTGCATATAAAATTGAGAGATACTTATATTACTGTGTCAGAAAACTGAAGAAATTAGTTAATATTGCGTTTTAAAATTGGATTCTGACTTGTTTCAGTATAAATAGAAGCCAATTAAAAATCCAATTTATTTATTGGATTTTTAATTTATGCAATTTATTAAATAAATAAATTTCATTATACTATTACATTATTCTTATCTATTCTTATTCTGATTTTTGTTTTGCAGCAATTTGAATAGTTTCCTTTGTCCATAGAAATTATATTTTTCATTCTGAATTATGAGTTAGTAGGACTTTGAATTCCCTTTGTGTTACATATTATCTGTCTAACCATGAGAAAATGTCTTTTCTTCCTTGGCCCTCAATCCCTCAGTTGTAAAACAGTGTTTACAATAACACCGGTCACACTGATTTATTCCGGTTTAATTAGATAACGTATCTAAAGCTCTTCATAGAACTGCTGCACAGAAGCTGCTCTGTTGACACTCACATCTGAGCCTGGAGTGTTCCTGCTGGCCTCTTGATAGCTGCAGCAAGTGTATATTCACTTAAGAACTACATGAACGTATTAAAAGGCTGCATCTTAAATGTAGGTCGACACTTAATAAACATCTATATGTTTGACTTGTTATTTGTCCTTTTGTTACCACTTTTCAAACTTATCTATAATACATGCAGTTGAGAGTCACTTTAAACCTAGTCTAACCCAAATTTCAGTATGAGTGTCTCAACAGAAATAAAAAGTACGAAAATTAAGTAATGGAAAAGAGAAAGTGAACACAAATGGTGCTTTTATATAGCTTAAAGATAATTCACAAAAATTTTCTCCAATGTGTCCTCTAAATGGATAAAGTTATTAAATAAATTCTGATCTCTTTAATTATTCACAGTTGTTAATCACACATTCAGCTTTGCTTGCTGAATGCTTTGATGGAGCAGCTCCTGTACATTTCCATGTGAACAGACGCTGTGAGTTTTAATGTTAACATAAAATCAATAAAAAGGCTGTTTGTTAAACTGTTGGCTTTGATTCATTTTACAAAAATGAACAAAAGATGTCTGATGTTACGGACATTTAATTATAATTTCTGCCTTGGAAATATTGTTTTTAATTTGAGAGCTGAGTATCTCAGGATATTAGAAAACTGAAGAAGGTAGCTGTTTTGTTTAAAAAATTGGATTTTGACATATCTTGATCTGAAAATTTCCAATTGTAGGACCTGAGTTTAAAAATTCTTTGTTTTTTTTAAATTTTAGTTTTATGTGTATGAGTATATTGCCTGCATATGTGTGAGTACACCCATGTTGTGCAATGCCTATGAAAGTCATAGGAAGGCATCAGATCCTCTGGAACTGGAGTTACAGAGGGTTGTTAGCTGCCATGTGGGTGCTGGGAATTGAACCTGGGTCGTCTGCAAGAGCAGTCAGTGCTCTTAACCGCTGCACCATCTTTCCAGCCCCCAAATTCTAATCTTTGAATTAAGCTCCACAGTATCAACAGAAGCAAAGATAAATGTGAACAGTGTAAGGCACATCAAATCCTTTGTTTTTCTCAATGTACCAATTGTGTTAACCTTAACATTAAGTGACAAAAACAGTTTTCCTTTTCCTTTTGAATGAGTTAATTTTTGTGAATTGATAATTACTTTAAGCCAACACGTGAATTTCAAATATTACACAGGCAAACAGTAACTATTGAGTAAACATGTTTGGACAACACAGATTTGCTCTGCAACATGTAATGACGCAAGTGGTCTCACAGCTCAGGAGTGATGAGATGTGGAGATGGAAAACGAATGTCTGGAGGATGGGCATATGAATCACAAGGAAAAAGAAAGAAAAGCTCATCCACCTTGGAGCCCCAGGGCACTATCATAGTCCTGGGGGTGGAAGTTGTTGGTTGTGTCCACGTCTTGGAAAGAGGCACTGTGAGGCATTCTCCCACAATCATTTTGGTACAGTGGACAGTGAATAGCACCATCTTGAGGCAGTGGGTGGAAAGGCTGGTGCATAGGGCTCCTTTTCAGAGCATGAAGAGATGAATTCCTCTCAGGAGTATCTGGCAACAGTTCACTGATAAGCCTGTGAAGTATACTGTTGTCTGGCAGGCTTCCTCTTCTCTTTTCAGCTTTAATTTGGTCACAGATGTCTTTCAGGGCAGAGTCCAGAGCCTCAACTACAGAGGCTTTGCATTTTGCCTTTTCAGTCTGTTTTTTGGGAGTCAAATGTTTTTTCCTCCGGAAAGGCACGGGGCTGACTAGAAATGCGAGTTTAGACAGGGCTGGGTCCATTTCTTGTCTTCTGGGTTGGTCAATATGCTCATGCCTAGCTCTTTCATGCTTTAACATTGTGGTAAATCGAGTGTAGGAGGCGGGGCATCGGCCTTTACAGGAGCTGACAAGGTGTCGGTGATGGTGGTGGTGATGATGGTGGTGGTGGTGGTGGCTGGATCCATAGAAACTTTCAGAGGATGTGAATGAAAAGTGGTCAAAATCACTTTCACTGCAGAAGGATGACCCTTCCACATGAACGTAGTCACTGTGGTCAGACACAACTCCATCTTGGTCACTGTCAGAAAACTCCATATGAGTCCTGGGTTGCTCCTCGCTGGTCACTTCAATGTGGATGGGCACCAGGGTTTTAGACTTATAGCCTCGCTGAACCTGAGAAGGGAGTCTACTTTGAGTTTCTTCCTCTAGCAAAGACTCAATGGAAAATCGCCTCTTGGGACACAAACCATTTTGTTGGGGTTCTAGGGTTACAGGAGACAACATTTCATCTCCTAGATTGGGCATGGACTTCGACTTTTGAATCAGTTTTTCAAATTCGGAAATGCGCGTGGGTACCATGTCCCTGGGCACCTCCTCAGTGGAAGACTGGCCCCACCCATGAAGTAGACCCCTGTGTTGCTGTTCCTTTTCGTACTGCATTATTCTGGATTTCACAGAGCAAATCACCTCCGAATTCATCAAATCCTTGCGGTTGATGCGGTGCATTTTCTTGTACATTTTGAGGAACCCTGGGGCGTTGTGGGCTGACCTGTGCCTGATCCTAGATCTGCCGTTACCACAAACCTCCTGGATGTAGGGGGAAGTCCACGTCATAGGGGACCCGTCTTTGGCGTCCTCTTCACACAATAGGGAACCCATACTTTCTGACTTGGTTTGGGGGTCTGGGAAGCTATCACAATCATCGTTCAGGAGATCGTCACAGCTACGGGATTTGATTTTGGGGGAGACAGTCTCTTCGGTGCTGCTCCAGATCTCCGCGTTTTGTCGGGCCATCTGCCAGCCATTCTTGAAAGTGATGGCCCTTTGAGAGTCCCGGGGGACATCCAAATGCTGTCTATAAGCGCTACAGTACTCTAACTCACCGGAGGGGGTGCTGTTGAGCCCTGAGGAACTGCAAAGGGACGGACATACTTTGCTATCATCCCCACCTTTCAATCCAGAGCAGCATGGCAGGAGAGAGACATTTGGAGAAGTTAAAAGTTTCACAGAAAGGAGAGCATGTCAGTATTAGCACAGCAAAGGGAAGGCAGTTAGAACTCTAATCTAGAAACTGCACACGTGTGGCTTCAGCTTCCAAGGAAAGTCTAATTTGAATGTAAGATAATATTTTTCAATAAATGAATTTTTGCAGCGATTATAGTTAACAAAATCATGCAAAACATACACTAGATTTAGCTAATGCCCATATTTCTACTGCATAATCTGACAACATGGCATGACCAAACCACAATTAAGCTAACAGCATGGTCTGGTAGTAATTTAAAGGTTTAACAATTAAGGTATTACAGACTTAACCAACCTAATAGGAACAGGATTTGAAACCTATTTGATTCATAATAATGGATAGGTAAAAAGCAGCTGTAAATTTACATTTAATTAACACTCATAACTATGCTAAATGATTTTTTATTGATATTGAGTCGAAAAATGTTCAAGACAAGATTTTGCCCAAAGTTGCAAAATACAGTGTTGTTAACTACAGCTGTCAATATTTTTCTAAAGTAAAAATAAGAGTCTTTTTAAACAATCTTCCTTCCTTCCTTCCTTCCTTCCTTCCTTCCTTCCTTCCTTCCTTCCTTCCTTCCTTTCTTCCTTTCCTTCAGACTCTGTAGCTCAGACTGATCTAGAAATTCATTATATACTCCAAGTTGGCCTCAAGCTTTTGACAGTTTTCCTACTTCAGCCTCCTGAGTGTAGGGATTAAGGTGTGACCAACTGGGCTAGCCCAGGGCAAACCACCTCTTTAATTTCTCACCTTCACTTTCATAAGAACATGTGTCCTTATAACAGCTGGATTTAATGTAAAACTTTCACCAGCGGTTAATGTATTTATCATTTTTTTCTCCTGGAGAGGGATTTATAAAAATCATTTTCAATTTGATAGCAGAGAGCTGAACTTGACCTTAATATGGAATGTCTATGGAAATATTATTATTATTA